AACATAGTACTCATTCTCTGAATGCGATTGGTTGACCTTTGGATCTTCTTGATTTGCTTCAAATTCTGATTCTTCAATCATGGTTCCAATTAGGGCAATTGTCACATTCCAGTCTCGAGGCGGTTCAATTAACATATACATGATACTAAAACATGCATCAGCGGAAGACTTAACTTATAATCTTGCATTAACTTCTGAAGATATGAGCTAACTTTTTTCCATTTTTTTATTTTGTTTCGCATGATATATAGCTTTACGTCCCATGTTTCTTATTAATCATAATTCCTTTTCTAAGTATTCATATTTTCTTAGTTACCATAAGCAATGGCCCTTGACCATCCAAATATGACAAACAAGTGTCAATCCAAACAGAGTCTAAAATCAAACAGCGTAACGGCTGTAAATCGAACAAATAGGGATTAAATCTCACCCTCATAATCCATACCTGATAAACATATCATCTTAGACATATCATATAATCATATATTGTCCAACAACAAACCTAATACCCATCCATGAGCACATGCATAATTGGCTTCATGCCACTATGTCTAACAACATACATATCTCAGTACATGCACATATCTGAATACTACATCGTCATATAACATGTTTGAATACACAAATGTACATGCATCAAAGCTGAAAACATGTACCAAATATATACAGACCATATACAGTATAATGGATCAGACATCATGACCCCAAAATGAATAGAACACAAATAAGCAATAAATACATGTCCTCCAAAATAATGGCAACCTAATGCTACACAAGATCGTGTCTCTACCTAGTGATGATGAATCATCTAAAACACACATATCCACTATGACACCTCTAGCCACGGGTTCTATCCTTGCCCCGTGAGGTCTCACCGGCTATCTGCACACCTGAAATGATGTCCTCAAACGGGGTGAGATAACGAATCTCAGTAAACTCCAGGTTTATAGAGTAATCTCCATACTCTGGGCCCACTCCTGCATGAAAGTCAAATACAGAGTATACAAAGCGTTATATAAACAAATATCATAACAGAACTAAGCATATTCACATATCATATCAAAGATGTATGCAGTCATTCCCAAGGGAGGACCCCAAGCGAATTTCAATGCACGTGTTCCTAAGGGTGGACCCCAAGCAGAACTCAACACATAATAGAGGTGTAAACAGTCAATCCAAGGGAGGACCCCAAATAGAAATTAGTGTGCATAAATTCATTGGCCAAGAATCATCACAGTAATCTCATCAGAACAAAACATATATTGTTATCATATAGCTCTATATTAATGCATCTATACCAAGTATCAAAAAATAATCATACAATACCATCCTTAGTCCACTAACCATGGTGGAGCATATAGATAGGAAAGAACTCCTTAAACATAGAGCTTACGTGTACTCCTGTTTTCTTTTCCAATTTGCTTAGACACAAGAAATACCAAGCTCACTTGCTTCACCAAAGTCACCTAATAAGACTCACATTGGCTCACTTAATTCTTAACTTACAACGTATACATTCATACTAACAACCAGTATAAGCATGTTTCTTGTATTTGAAGCAATTATATTATGTCTGACATACTTTAAAATCTTCAATTAAAGTAATTTCCATATTAACTTTCATATTAATATGCATATCCAAGCCATCCAAACAAGTCATAATAACTATCTCGTTAATCCACACAAATCTTACATAATAGGTAATTAATCCATTTCAGTAGATTGCCCTTAGTTTCCTTACTTGCCATAAACTTACTATACTTAAATTGTTCTTCTAAAATTTTGATATTTTACCATCATAATCTAGACGTTATGAGCTTTCCAACTATATAGCTTAAGCCCTATTATGATAAGTACAGCTCAAGATATGTCTGCCGTAAGTAATTGGCTTAAACATATCATCACGAAAATAGGGTCGCAGACCATTTCTAAATTGTGGAACATTTTACTATCCATTTTATTCTATAATTTTTATGAAAAATACTAGATATCTAAGGCTTTAATTTGATACAAGAATCGTCCCGTTTCATTGAGTAATGAAGGAGTTATGAATTTTATAAGCTCTGTGTTAATTGTTGTCAACACAGGGCAACTATGAACAGCGCTCATTCTTTCTGTTTCTGGGTAGAAATGTGAACTCATAAAATTCTCATATTTTAGGATAAGAAAATAGACATCTTAAGCTTTAATTTGATACCTCAGACACAATCTAATTGGTTAAGAAATAAGTGAGATATTAATTTTTCAAAACAACGCTCACTACTTACATAAAATTCTTACGGCATTAAAACTTATATGGGTTTTATAAGAGTTATGTTGAAGGAAAAATGATTGTGTAATGTTATAGAGATTCATTTTGCGTGCCTTGATTTTTTATTTATTTTTTTGTTTTAAAAAGTGTGGGCCCCACAAAATGTTGTCAGAGTAGGAAAGTTTGTTGTGTTATGTTAAAGGATAAAACGAAAACCCAACTTATATATAATTGTAATTTACAAGTAATATTACTCGTGCAATTTTTCCCCCTTCACAAAATTTTCTAGATCTACCGTTGCTCCTCAAACTAATTTGAACATATCGTCGACAAATGACAATAAAATTAAAAACCTTACTAAGTTTAAAAATAAAATTAAGAAAATAATTAAAATTGAAAATTTTACACTACATTATTTAGTGTGTTCGAAATATAATTAAAAATATAAAATCACTCATCTAACTCCACCCTACAGCGTAACCTTTTGAGCATATATATCAAATATTTAATCTTTGTTAATAATATTCATAATAAATATTGTGAAATATTTTAATATAGATAAGTGGGTTTGTACATTGTCCATTCTTCGAATCTAATAAGTTCTTGTATTATGTGTTAAAAATATATTATAAAAATATAAACTATTCATGCAATAAACCAACTTCAACACTCTCGAATGTACTTGTTTTTACTATTTGTTATTTAAATTTAAAATCGACTAATTTAGAATTTTTGAATATCAACATAAATACTCACTTATCGATTCATTTTATTTTAAATATTCATTTAAGAAAAAATATCAAAATAATTAAATCAACTATATAAATCCTTGTTTCTTGAGAAAAAGTACACATGGTAAGGAGAAAGCAACGACAAGTTATATATAAAATTTGGAAAAAAACAAATATTATGTTGTAGAAAAAATTTTAAGTCATGTCATAGAGACAATTAATTGTTGGGTCACTATTTTTAAAATAAAAGAAAAATAAAATAATCCATAGACTTCACTTTTATATGTCTGTAGAAAAATTACTTGTGTGATGTTAAAAGAAAAAAACATTACCCATAAAGTTTCTACCTTTGTATAGGTTATATATCTCTAGTTTAAATATAAAGAATTCATGTTGAAATTCATTTATTATGAATTTTCATTTTTTTTTTGGTAAAGAGAAAGCACAAACTAAGCCTAATACGTAAAAATGTCAATGTGGATGATGGGAGCTATTCTCATAAAGTCAGCAGCCAAAACAGTAAGAAGAACACGTAATGCCTGCCAACGCCACATGTGGAAATTGAATCTCGGAATATGCGCAGCCATCTGAATCTTCTCGAAGCAAAGACTGAACGAACGGTTCTCACCAAAGCAGTGCAACGATGAACGATGTGTTGAAGAGCATCCATGCGCCACAAAATTAATATATCAAGTAAAAAACTTTTTATTAAGGACGACAAAATTATATATATATATATATATATATATATATATATTAATATACACACACACTAATTATAACTGTTTATATAAAAAATATTAAAAATAATAGCTTCTATAAATTTTAACCGACGCAATCACTAAATATATAATAAAAAGTAATAATATTTAAATCTTAAAGCTTTTATAAATGAGAAATACTTTTCTTAAAAATATACTATCTCTTATACTCACATTTTTTAAATGGATCCCACAAGATTTTTTTTTTTCGCCTTCAACTTTTTTGTCTCTCATATTTATTGTTTGGATAGGAGATAATACTTCTCTTATACAACATAAAAAAAGAATTACTCTTTATAAATTAGAGAGAACGGTCTCCTCTATTAATTTATGGGATTTATTAATCTTATGCAATAGGAAATAAACTCTCTCATGTTATAGAAATGATCATGTGTGGGATCCATCTACTTATAAAAAATAATAATAACAACACGAAAATCGATGTATGTGTAGGAGAGAAAAACACTCTTCAATAACATGAGAATATATTTTCCCTTAATTTATTCCTCCCTTCACCATTACTTAAGAATCTTTCATACATTTTTTAAGTAAGTAAATATATATAGATATATAGATATATAAAATTTTTACCACACCAAATCTTAGATCCGGTCATTGTACATCCGTTAATTAATTATTGATTTCTAATAAATAATAACTGTTGATTGGCAAAAATTAACGTTTAGGAATTGATGTCAAATTTTAAAGTTTAATGCCAGTATCAAAGGATCCTAGCACGTATATATATATATATATATATATATATATATATATATATATATATATATATATATATATATATATATATATATAGGCTTATCGTTTCTCAAGCTGCCGGAGATAAAGTTATCTCCGGCTACTAAATCATAATCGTACAAAGATGGATCAATGGTGATAAAGGAAGAGAGAGAAAAAATGAATCATAACCAATGTTATTAAACTCGACCCGGTCATCGACCCGGTCGAGGTACTGGGTCACTGGGTCAACCAGTGGGTCACTGGTTCAACCGCATGACCCGGTAAGTATATGCAAACCTGTAATTTATACTCAAATACATGTAAAAAAAAATACTAATTTCAAATATTCTAATTTAAAAAGCAATAAATCATATACTATTGTCCAACAAAAGATAAAACAAATATATAATATTTGTCTAGTTCTTAAACACTTAATATCTATCACAAGTTTAGAACAATAACTCTTGTCGATATCAAGAGAAAACAAACAAATCAAATTACTAGTACAAAAACATATAATTATGCCCACGGAGGCAAAGTTGTGTCAATTAATTCATCCTCTCCTCCTTCATCAAATAAATCCAAAGCTTGACCAACATTGCCTTCAGTTTGATTTTCATTTTCCATGGTGTTGTCTTGTGCCTCATCTTCATCATTATCATCCAAATTTAATTGATCTAAAACAAATATTATTTTTTCATGTAAGTTAGTTATTAACATGAAGTAATCAAACAATCAAATAATCATAGAACAATAAGTAAACACACCATTATCATCTAGAGTTGGTTGAATGGACATATTTGCAAGCTCATTCCGTAAGGTTTCCATTTCTTCAGCTGTTAAGTATGGTGGTGAATCCTCTAGTACCCAATTAGAATGGTCCTCAAATGTTTCAAAATTTATTGGATCATAGTTTTGATTCTTCAATCGATTCCTATGCATACAAAAAAAAATTTGTTCAATTTTCAACATTAGAAATACTTGGAGAAATAATTATATAAAAAAAAGTAAATACTAAATAATACCTTTGTGCCAGCCTCAAGTTGTAATGGACATAGACAAGATCATTAAGCTTTTGGTGCTCTAATCTATTTCTCTTATTCGAATGAATATGTTCAAATGCACTCCAATTGCGTTCACAACCCGAAGCACTACATGTTTGACTTAAAACACGAATAGCCAATTTTTGCAAATTTGGTGCACCACATCCATAAGATTCCCACCATTGATCTAGAATATTGCATGTGATAAAATAAATTAGTATTAATATTATTCAGCATTAATAAGAATTAATCCTCATAAAAAAGAAGATATCAATGATAAATTTTACCTGGCATCACGGTATTTCGTTCGCGTGTAGCAGATGGCCTTCCAAAATCTAACTCAGCATTTTTGAATATTCTCATCTCACTTGTCAACTTAGAATTTAAATCAGGATCCCCATAAGCATATTTCTCAATGACATCCAAAAGGCCTGATGTTGTGAACTTATGTTTTTCAAATTCTTCATCATTGTAACGACAACCTGGATTCAACCAATAACCAGCAGCATGAAGATTTTTGCGAAGCTGTGAATCCCAACGACGATCTAAGATTTTCAAGTAAGGTTCCACCTTCTTCTTGTTTCTTTGAAATCTCTTTATCATCTCCTCTCTAGCTTTAAATATAGCTTGATAAAGAAAACCCAATGCAGGTTTGTTTTCACTGTCAACAATACGTAACACACGAATAAGTGGCTCAGTAAGCTTCACAATCTCAGCACATTGTTTCCAAAAATTAGAATCTAAAACTTGTTCCACAAATTTTTTTGCCTTGGCCTCCTTAGAATAAGTTGAGCTTGTCCAATCTCTAGAAGTTACCATAGCCCTTAATGCATCTTTTTGAGCCAATATGCTTTGTAATGCAATAAAATTAGTGGCAAAACGAGTAGGAGCTGGACGAAGAATTTCCCTTCCACTTGTATATTTTCTCATCAAATGCAATGGATGACAATGGTTATATATGTATTTGGTAATTGTGGCAGCATGAGACACAACAACACTTACTTCCTCTAGCTTCCCAATGTCATGTAACATCAAATTCATACAATGAGCAGCACAAGGAGACCAAAAAATCTTAGGAAACTCAGCCTCCAATAACCTTCCAGCAGCAACATAATTTGCAGCATTATCAGTCACAATCTGAACAACATTTTCAGGGCCAACATGCAACACTACATCTCTAAAAAGCTTATACAATAAATCTGCAGTTTTAGAAGCATTAGAAGCATCAACCGACTTGAGAAAAATAGTTCCTTTTGGGCAGTAAACTAGAAAATTGATAAGAGTTCTCCTACAACGATCAGTCCACCCATCTGCCATAATAGTGCATCCTGTTTGCTTCCAAACAGTGCGATAACTCTCAACAAGTTTATTGACTTCTCCAACCCACTTATTTAACAAATGACCACGAACTCTATAAAAATTTGGACCTTTATACCCTGAACCCATGCTACAAATAGCATCAATCATTGGCTGGTAATATGATGAATTAACAGCATTAAATGGCACACCAGCATCAATCATCCATTTGGAAATTGCAAGGTCACACTTCTCCATTACTTCTTTACTTTGCAACACACTTTTTATGCCAGGTTGAGCTCCATGAGTTGTTCTAGGCATAAAATAAGAACCTAAAGGATTAATACTCTTCCCCTTTTGAGATGTAGAAGGTGCTTTTCTTGATGGATTTTGTGGCACTTCATCAACTACTCTCACTTGATCTTCATCTAATGGATTACTATCTTCATATTCCTCTTGAACTTTTCTTTTTTTTTGTTCATGCCCTCATCAATATTTTGCTTCATTTGAAAACGAATATCTGCTGGAACCTTCTTGCATTGTTCAACTTGCCCTTTTTCTCCTGCCAAGTGAATCTTCAGTCGATTGATGCCGCCTCCCCTGATTATCTTATCACAATAAAGACATATTAGAACAGTTTTTCCATTCTCTTCAACACGTTGTTTACAGTGTGCCCAACTTGGATCAGTTTTTCCCTTGTGTTGATTTCTTTGAGATGATTGTTGAGATGAAATTTCTTGTGAGACTGGTGCTTCAGGTTCAGTAGATGACATATCTAGATATAAATCAAACCAAATTCAAATAAAAATTCAACAGGTTAATGAACCAGCACCAACACACACACATATAAAAAAACTCTATATACAATAGTCTGTTTGAAAATAAAATTGTGAACAAATAATATGAAGAATCACAAACCTGTAAGAAGCTGCACTCTTTCTTGTTTTGTTAAAGGAGTTTTGTTTAACTGATCTAAACTTACCATATTTCAGACAGGAAACAACATTTAGCAAATAATATTTTTCATTAAGAATCAAATAAATTTGTTTTAACAACAAGCAATTTACGAATTATGGTGATATGAATTTGCGGTCTCTAAATAGCAACATGAATAGGAAAAAATTTCATTCATTTAAATTACATTTTTCGTACAGAATAAGAATCTTTGTCTCATATACAATGTCCACTTATTTAGGAAATATTGTGATGGGAAGATGAGATGCAGGGTCTGAATTGCCACTTGCAAAAGTAAAACACTAGCAGATGGAAAACCAAACTATGTTTACCGTTGACAGAACAACCACTAGATCTAGAAGTAAATATTTGAATGAGCATTCCCTTCGTATCATGAAATTTATGATTATTTGTAGGTTTCTACCTAATACTATCCAACGGAGGATGAAGAAAATTTACAGAGATGTAAAAGTTTCTCTTAAGGATATAATTAACAAGAGAGAGAAAGCACTAAAGGCTGGTGAAGCTGCAAAGAATGACTTATTAGTTATTAGGAATACTTCTTGAGTCAAATCATAAGGAAATTGAAGAACAAGGAAACAATAAGAATGTTGGAATGAATATTGAAGATGTAATAGAGGAAACAATAAGAAATATTCCAATCCCCGTTAATCATTATGGCACAAGATGCATTACTCTGCTCATCTTCTACCTCCTCCAAAGGAAACTTAGAAACTGATTCAAGATTATGCTCCAAGCCTAACCAATTATCCCTCCAAAACTTGATTGATTCACCATTCAAAGGTTCCCATCTTAAACCCTTTAAGAACTCTTCCCAAACTTTACCTAAAGCCTTCCACAATGGGGAATCGTAATGCTTCACAGAAATCTCTCTTCTAATATCTTTCTTCCTTCCATATTTGCCAACTAAAACCCGTACCCATAAATCTATTAGTTTTGTCAATAAAGACCAAGCTAGTTTGTGCAAATAAGCTTCATTCTGTTTATGTAAATTAATTTATAAATTGTGAAATAAATTAAGGATCTATAATTTGAAGTCAATCACAAACCTGTAAGAAGCTGCACTTTTTCTTGGAGGTATCTGCATAAATAGTACAAAACCATTAGCTTGACACCACAAAAGTTTTCAAATCCCAAGCTACCCATTTCATCACAGACACTAAATTCAACTTCAAAAAAAATAAAATAAAAATAGCAACATTCAATGCAACCATAATTTCTTAACAAGCTTAAATGTTGTATACCCCCGTTCAATTGCAAATTGAATTCCCACCTTCTTATCACAACCCATTGCAACTTGTATGATCGAATCGAAGCAAATAAAAGATAAAGCAATCCAAATATGAACTGTCCAAAGGTTCAGAAAGTTGAAAAGCATTTACCTTTGAGTTGATCTAAGTTACCCTCCTTGATCTTCTATCTCCAACACCCACAGAAGCAACGAAGGGGCTTTGAGATTTGAGGCGAAGAAGTGCTTGAAAGTTGAAAACTTGAGTTGAGATGAGAGGGTTTGAGAGTTGAGACCGAGAATAAAGCAAGAAAAGAACTGATCAGATGTGATTCTCATTACACGACGTCGTATTGAGTTTTTTTTTGTTTTTTTAATTAATACGCATGACCCGTCCGGTTCACCGGTTTTCCTAAAACCCGGCCGGTTCACACCGGGTCGTAGAGGGTCCGTGACAAGTCCGATCCAACAAACAAACCGGCCCGGTTTAGTGACCGGGTCACCGGTTTCTGGGCCGACCCGGCCGGGTCGGTCCGGTTTTGATAACACTGAACATAACCATTCAAAGGTGAATCAATTAATATAAAGAAATAATAAACAAAACGACGTAGTTTTGGGGTGGCCGGAGATAAACTTTTCTCAAGTTGCCGGAGAAATGTTTTTCCCTATATATATATATATATATATATATATATATATATATATATATATATATATATATATATATATAGGGAAAACATTTCTACAACCGCTGTAGATAAGCTTATCTCCGGCTAAGTAAAACTACGTCGTTTTGGTCTAAAAATTAAAAAAAAAATAGTATTTTTTTTTCTAAGATTCAACGTCTTCAACGACAGAACAGCAACTATCGGATTCCCAAACTCATCGAGCAGAGACCTTCTTCTCCTTTGCTACCTGTGTTCTTTCCGTCTTGAGAGCGTTCTTCTCCGTTTGTGAAGCTCCACTATGACCATCTACTACCTTGAATTATAAGGCAGCTACACGCTTCATAGAACACTTTGTGCCTGACCTCACTCCAGGTGGGTAATGAAATATTTTATTCCTTTAGTGGGTCATCTCTGTCTCTTCCATTTTGATCTCATATATGTAAACTAGTGGTTATTTCATGCAGGGTAGAGGCAAAGTATCAGAAAAAGTAGAGGGGGGACCAAAGATGAACCATCCCAGAGCTTTTTGGTAATAATAATAGCAGTATTAGGGGACCAGTACAAATTGACAATTTAGAGGATGATGGAGATGAACCACTTTTTCTTTTATTTGTAATTTTTATGTAATTTTGGTTTATTTGAAATAATTGTAGTCATAAACACTTAAGATGTTTATGTATGTTTTAGAGACATTGCAGATATGGCAGGATCATGACTGAGATACAAATGATTGAAATACTTTGTGATGAAACCATACTGCTTTATAAATTGAGCAATGCTACAAATATTTTCAAACATATTGAAATTGTTACTTACGTAGAATTTGAGTTACAATCAAAGTGAGTTTGTTATCGCCAATTTGAGTATAATATTAGAATGACTATCCAAAATTGTTCCGATTAAATATTCTTCAATCATTATGCTGTGTATCAAAAAAAGTCTTCATTCAAATAATTTAATGATAAATTGTGTGTCTATATTTCACTTTACAAATATTAAATAGGTGGGGTGTTGCGAAATCGGCAAGTATACCGTTTGTTTCAAGTAATAAAGTGATAAGTAAAGTATCGCTCCCACGAGGATTAATGCACCAAGTACGAGTTTAACTATTCCCCTTAAGTTGGAAGAGAAAATTTGGTTTGATTTGTGAAAGTAATTTAAAAACATAATTTAAAATAAAAATAATTAAAAAACAGAAAATTAAAAACAATTAATTTCCAACGCATAGCAAGAAAAAATCAAGACCGCGAGAAAATATTGATGAAAAATTTATAAAAAGGATGTAGCTAGGATGCACTACACCTCCGATCCTCCCTTATATTCCTATATTGTATTTTATAATTTAATTAATTTGTTTGTTCAGACAATTCATTATTTTCCTATAAAAAAGTTGAACCCTAATGTCTTAGTGATTTCAACCCTTTAACCCAATCAGAATTCTAATGTCTTTGTAATCCCTCTTGAATTAAGCATTAAGCAAATGAATTATGAGTCTGCAATTTATGTAAGCCTATGTCTAGATCATACACAAATTGTTATTCTACCCTTGTCCAGATTAAAACCTCAATATGTCTATTGTGAATTCTAACCCTCAAAACCCTATAATTTAGAGTGGCCAATTCTAAACAGGATATGGAAAAAGTAACACAGGTAGAATAAAACAAACAAACTAATTAACTTATAAAATATCAATACAAAAAATATAAAGGATTCACATTGGGTCCGTGATCCCAACTACAAAAAGAAACTAGCCAGACATAGCTGACTTAAACAAATTAAACAAATAAAAAGTATTTATGAAAACAATAAAGAAAAAGAAGAAGAAGATAGAATCCTGATCTCCAACGTGAGCCTCCAAGATCCTTTGTCTCTGAGGTCTGAGTCTCTATTTATAGAGTTTGCGCATTGCTTAGAAATCTTGATCAAATCTTCTTTATATATCTGGGTCCAATCTTTCTCTGATACAATCTGGAATAAATTAAAGATTTCCCATACTTCCAATTTTGGCTTCTTTTTGTCCTGTTTTCCTACAAAATTATAAGAAAATCACTGACAAGATATCTGATTAAGATTTATCAATTTAATAATAATTATAGCCCTTTTTATTCAAGATTGATCAAGATTCTTTCTCTTTTTGGCTTAAAATCATATATATGCTGGAGGCATATCAAACAATTCCCAGATTTGAACGTTGCTGTCCTCAACAATGTACTAGATCAAAATAGAAACAAGGATGAATTCTGTGGAGAGAAAACATGGAACACAAATATCTTAAGAGATCAGACTGTTATGCATGTATAACTTCATCGTTGAAAAACTCTAAACAATGCTTTTCAGTTTTATCAAGAAATTAAGATCATAACTTGAATGTTCCTCACTGGATAAAT